TCGACAGAAAAAATTTAAAAACTTTGAAAATTCAGAGATCAAACACCCCCCCGGCAACAAGGCGTGGGGCGGTCACCAGCCGGAGCTGGGGGGGGGCGTGAGGAACACACCCACGGGTGGAAACACCCCATCCCTAAAGGTGTTCGCGTTTTAAGTACACTTCATAAATAACGTTAAATAATGCACTCAGCCCCAAGAAAATTGCATTTTCTTTTTTTATTACAGAAAGAAGGCAATCGTGAAAATAGTTTTCCCACAGGTAAGAATGTAAATAAACCAGTTAAGAAAAACAGGAGCGTTTTCCGTGAAGCTCACGCTGGTGGAATTGCAACGCTGAAACTACATCCCTAAATATAAGAAAATTTAGGAACAGCACCTTCAAAATGGTACGTCAGTGCACCAGAAATCCAAAGGTAACCACATGAAAATACAAATTCTTTAAAAGAGAACAGCAGAACAGTCGTCGATGCAGAAATTGTTCTTTTACTACAAAAATGGTGATCTTATTTGGCAGGAGTATTCGTCCCTCTTGGTCCATCAATGCTAATCTTCCGGGAAAGAAGAGCCGCATCAACAACACAGAGAACAAGCAGCATAAGACCAAACACCTATAAAAACAACAATAATGGTAACTTCCCCGTGGAATCTCTGTCCTTCACTGCAGTGACCCACCTCCCGTTCCCCAAAGCAGCAGCAAACGCATCTTCCCAACTTGCTTCTGGCTTCTAAATCTATGTGTCATGTGGGACAGCAGGTAAGTTAAATAAGGTGCACATTTAAACCCCATCAGCCTTTCCCCAGCAGCCCCCACCCTGGCTGTGTCTGATGTGTGTGTGAAGCCTTGAGCTTTGTTAACCCAGACAGTGCTTTCATCCTCAATGACAACCCCTCGGCTCCTGAAGGACTGTCTAAGCAATGATATTGGCCCAGAGAACAGTCAACGTTTCTAGAAACAAGCCTATCGGGGGAAAAAGAAATAGAGCTGCTCTCCTCTGAAGCTCTGAATGGGAAAGACATTCCAAACAGAAGAAAGTGCAGGTAAGTATTTAAAACCCAGACAACTTCAGGCAGTTTGTGCCCCAGGAGCACAGGCCTTGGGCAACCCTGTGTCTCCCAGCATGGAAGACACCATACGTGCTGCACAAACTTGTTTTCCAAGCTACCTGCGTCCAACCTGACTTTAATTTCTATTAACTTCACAAATGAGAAGATAAATCCCATTCTGGCAGAGCCGGTCACTTTATCAGGAAGTCTCCCTGTAGCTTAGGATGTCACTGCCAGCGAAGACATCAGCTGATTTTGAGAGACTCACGTGGCAGGTTCTGGGTCTCCTTTGGTTTCTCGTCACATTTTAGCTTATCTCATTCTTCAGGAGACTTAAATACTGTCAAAACAGAGGTTTCCCCCCGCCCCGCTGTTGTTCACTAATGACAATTAGTTTTCATTTGAATTAAAAATACCAGTTAAGCTAGTAAACTGGTTTGATCTTTAGTACACAAAAATTTTACAACCATAGTATGAAAAAACCCTTTCAACTACCATAATTTCTCAGTTTGTGTCTGGAAAAAATAATATACACCTCAGGAGGGAGGTGCCAGCACGCCTGTTAAAAGATTTCAGCTCTCTTTAGCAGGATTGTAGGCATTTATTATTAAATAGTGTAGCCAACCTGGACAGTCCTAGAAGAGCTATGGATTCTCCCACCTAGAATTTCAAGCTATGGAAGCAAATGCAGGTTCCTCAAATCAGTTAAATTCTAGGAGTTTTCAGTGTTAGTACAAAGATGCTGGGAGGGCTGGAGCCCCTCTGCTGGGAGGACAGGCTGAGAGAGTTGGGGGTTCAGCCTGGAGAAGAGGGAGCTTTGGGGAGACCCTGGAGCCCCTTCCAGTCCCTCAAGGGGCTCCAGGAGAGATGGGGAGGGACTCTGGATCAGGGAGGGGAGCCCTAGGAGGAGGGGGAAGGGTTTGACACTGAGAGAGGGGAGATGGAGCTGAGATGTGGGGAAGAACTTGTTTGCTGTGAGGGTGGTGAGAGCCTGGCCCAGGTTGGCCAGAGAAGCTGTGGCTGCCCCATCCCTGGAGGGGTTCAAGGGCAGGTTGGAGGGGGCTTGGAGCAACCTGGGCTGGTGGGAGGTGTCCCTGCCCAGGGCAGGGGGTGGCACTGGGGGGGCTTTAAGGTCCCTTCCCACCCAAACCATTCTGTGATTATTGTGATTCTACTTCTCTGTAGTAATTCCTAAGTCTAGTGATATCTTTGAATTAGTAGTAATTTGAAGATTTGGTTTTTTTAGTGACATTTATTGCACGTGTGTTCACTTTTTTGTGACTTCTGCCTATGTCCTTCCACGTCAGAGTTCCTGTTACAGCCTTACCACAATGTGCTGTGATTCTACATCTCTGTAGTAATTCCTAAGTCTAGTGATATCTTTGAATTAGTAGTAATTTGAAGATTTGGTTTTTTTAGTGACATTTATTGCACGTGTGTTCACTTTTTTGTGACTTCTGCCTATGTCCTTCCACGTCAGAGTTCCTGTTACAGCCTTACCACAATGTGGTGCACGCCACGTCTACTGTAAGACCTGAAATTTGTTAATAATCCTCCTACTTACTCCTCCGGCCAGCGTCCCCGTGTTGGTCCCCAGGATTACTGCACACAGGCAGACGATGAGGAGGAACACCGCCGCGATCACCGAGTTGAAAACATCCTGAAACAGCCAGTGGGAGCAGAGGGTTTATTCTGAAATACAGCCCTGAAGGAGAACGTGAGTAGCTCCCGATATTGTACAAATCCTTAAAAGTTGCTGGTTTAGGATGAAAACAGAAATCCACCCATATCCACGCAGGATCCATAGTGACACCCAGCGGTGTGATGCTAGAAAGGTTGTCATAAAACTTCCTCATTTTGCCTTTGTTTTCAGTCCAATTTATGTGACTCGGCTACTAGAGCAGAGAAAGGGATTAAAAAAGGGAGGCAGGAGGAGAACTCATTCATCTTTTAGCGAAAGTGCATGTTTAATTGGTGATGGGAAGGATCACCAAGAAGAAGAGTGGAGTATTGTCAGGTGACGCAGATGATGCTCCTCACAGGAGGGGCTGTTAATGTGTCTAATTTAGAAATTGACACAAAATGACACATTTCAGTGAGGAAAAAATGTATTTTCTTGAACTTTATAGCAAGAAGACGTGACTGACAAAACGGGGGGGGGGGGGAATCCC